CGGTGCAGTCGACGGGGTTCGTGTTCCAGAACTGCTCCATCAACGGGACGGAGGAGTACATGGAGGTGTACCGGAAGCACAAGAAGGTGCACCATAACTACCTGGGACGGCCATGGAGGGAGTACTCGAGGACGGTGTTCATAGGGTGTAACTATGGGGACATGATTTCCGAAAAAGGGTGGTTTCCGTGGGTTGGAGAGTTTGCATTGAAAACGTTGTATTATGGGGAATACGGAAACACGGGGACAAACACATCTGGCCGTGTCGAGTGGAGCAGCACCGTGCCGGAAGACCGTGTCAGCTCATATTCCCTTTCTAATTTCATTCAAGGCGATCAGTGGATCCACTAATCTACCATTAGCCAACTAAATCTCATATTCTTAAAGCTTAATGTAACCAAAAATGACTTCTATCTATGGTAACGATAACTATTGCCTACTATTCCAAATAATGCATTTTTTAGGATATATTTTTATCTCTATGTTTCAATTCATTAGTGGGTGAGTGAGTAATAATCTTTAGTTATTATATTCTCTCTATTTTGGATATATATTCAATGATAAGGCACGACATTCATTTGTTAATCTTCAAGTCAAAGTCGAAATCAATGCATGATATAGGAGGAGCTAGATTATATATATTCACGTAGAGATTAGTGATCTCAATGGAGCACTAATGATAACCACTCGCATATATTCTAGCTATTAGTAATCTTAATAATCTTGGTCTCTTAATCTTGGCTACGTTTGGCCGATGAGATTATTATTAATTATGAGCAATTGGGGACTTGGAGTTGTTTCGTGGATGATTAATCTGACGACGGCTTTAAGCATGTTTGTTAATTAAAATAAAATATAATTAAGTGTTGAAAAATTGATAAAGATTTTATTCCGTACGACGTTGCTTGAGACTTTAAAAAAGTCAAGTGTTTTTAAACAAGAGAAGTGATCGAGCACCCAAAATAGTAAGAAGTCAACTTGGCACTTGGTAGTATAGTATTCACACATTGTTGTCATGAGCTTATTTTTGTCTTTTTGTTTTTTTTTATATATATGTTCACGTACGTAAGAATATTGACTTAGTCCTTCATTGGAATTTTGAATTGATGTGACTTCATTTTATCAAGACGTATCTAAACTCCGCATATAATGTTGTTTGTTTAAATCTCTGCGTGGTATAATCGGATTTGGTTTTAAGTGACTTTATTTTACTGAAATATTGTAAATTATAGTGCAGTAGTATGAATTGCATTACTCATTATTATACGAAGTATCTGACAAACTTCTAGCCTAATTAGTTTTTTTGAATTAAAGTTATCATTTAAAGTAATGGCAAAAATAGAAAATTCAAAATGTAATTATAATCTTATCGTTAAAGAAATCAAGCAAGAAATTATGTTATAAAGTATATTAAAAAAGATGAGTTTGGGGTGATTTTGTTAAGGTATCCTGGAATGATTGCAGTAAATTTGGAAAAAGTTGACTATTCACCACCGGGAACTTAACTAGGAAAAACACATGACATTTTTGTCAAGCTGTTCGATTTACTGGTCGTCCTGAACAAACTTTGGATACTTTCACATATGCAGAGGCCGGGCCGTCTCCAAGAGCACGTGATGCATATGAGGGCTTCAGATTTCACACATTAACATCTTTTTAATACTAGGGCCCAAATTTGCTGGTCTAGTCTATTTAAGTCTAGTCTAATCTGAATTGATCTGGTTTAGTCTGATTAGGTGAATGTCTAGTCTGTGTGTATCTTATAATTATGAAAGTCTGATCTAATTTGACCTATTTAAATTTTTTCGGTTCGGTTGATTTTTTAACCCAAAAGGTGAAACTGTTGGAAAAATGGTTTACAAATTAATATTTCATTATATTTGTTGGGATATATTATCCCGGCCTATTACTGTTCAGGAGCCCAATACTTTTCTCAGTACGTAGCCCGAGCAACTAGGCCCATTTCGGCCCATCCGGCCCACTTTGACCATCAGGCTCGATATCGGCCCGTTTGGCCCATTAGGGTGGAGAGCCCCTTCTCCCCTTCCCCTATAAATAGGAGGTTTCCCTCCATGTAAAAGGACCCCTCTTCCTGGAGCTTATTCTTCTTCCCTCTCTCTAGCTAGCTTACAATACTCCATTAATGGGAGCTCAAATTGTACAATGTAATGGTGAGGAGAGTCCTAATGAGAATGAGAGGGCTTGGACATTAGCCTAAAAAGTCCCGTGGTTTTCTCCCTTTCCGGGTTTCCACATAAAAATAGTTTGTTCATACACATTTATACATATATTTACTATATCGTGTTGGATTAAACTCAACAATATTATTTGTAGAAAACCATTTTGAAATGAATGGGAAATTGTCCCCTGCACACGGAGAGCGTGAAATTGCATTTCATGCGCCGCCGCTGGCCGGCCGGGTTGGGTTTTCGGGTACGGGTGGGTATCATTGGTTAATGAAGAATTTGAGAAAGTAGAAAGGGAAAAGATGAAAAACCAAAGAGAAGTAAGCGCAAGGAAAGAGTGTGAAGTGGGAAATGTCTCCAGAAGTTAATTTAACTAATGGAGTTTACCGTAAGTGAACCGATTAGTTTTTTGATACGGTAGCCTTATGTGAGATGAATTGCAACATATTGTGTGCTTTGTTGGCATTTTTATATCTTTCTAATTTTCTATTCACTTTTCAGGTTCATCTGCTTGGAACTGAGGGCTCTGCTTGTGGGTTTTTTGGATGGCCTTTTCTGTCAGTTAATTAAGTTGTTGATTGTTGTGTGTTTTGTTTAATTAAGTTCTCGACCGTAATGAACTTCTCAGGTTATGTATTTTTCTTTAAATTCAACTATTGAGGTTTAAAATGATGGTCAATATATTTGAATGGTAATTTCAAATGTTGAATGTATGTTTGGTACAAATTTAACCGTGATTTATAAGATTTTTTTAAGACTAGAAACCGTTAAATGACAAGAACCGAACTCTTAAGAATAGTTCGATTCCTTATCGATTCTATATAATAATTTATAAGAATCGAATCGTTTCTAAAATTTCATATTTTCAAACGGTTCCATATATTTTGCCTAGGAGTCGAACCGCTCCCAAGCCTACCTGGATCACAATTGGAATTTCCAAATGCAAACCCCATCCTTTCTGATTGGGGAGCCCTAATCGCAACTTAACGTCGACTGAGATAAGCCTAACGGAGGTTTGACGTTAAATCTATATGCTATAGGTCTATTAGGAAATTAAGAGAAATTAAAACTCCATGTACGACAAATCTTATCTATAAATAAATAGCGCAAATTATACCGTGGGATCGGCCCACCGTGAGCAAGGTGTGCCGATCCCAAAACGACACCGCTTTATCAATTAAAATAACAGATCAATCTTGCGCTGCGACTGGAGCCACCGACCGGAGCCACTTCAATCTGCAAAAGCTCTTCAATCTAGAGCCACCGACTGGAACAACGATTGAGAAATTCCTCTATCTTTCTTGTCGGCAACCGACTGGAGCAACGATTGACAAATCTTCAAACCTTCTTCAAATTTCTTTTCTGACTCAACTAAGTAAATAAACTTTAAAACTAAAGCATCACCCTTTTAATCTGCTAACATGTCACCCTTTTAATCTGCTAACATGTCACCCTTTTAATCTGTTGAATATCTAACGATGTCGATCGATGGAATTAGTTGGTGTATATATACGTATGGATATATGTGTGTAATATGTGAAATTGCATTTTTTATACTCGAGTTACATCTTCTAAAGCGTGAGTTACATCTTTTGAAGCGCGAGTTACATTTGGATTTGCCTCAACAAGTAACATTTTGTATACACCTAAGTTACATTTGACATCAATGCGAGTTACATTTGTAATAACATGAGTTACATAAAAAAAAATAAACCTCTACTATTGAAACAAAAAAATAATTTTTTTGCACCCTTTTAATGGTCATGATATTAAAAATAAAACATATTCACTATTTACGTAAAGTAATTGAGCAATTAGACTCCTTGTTTTCTTTGTTTACATTGAAATCAATGTTTTATTCTTTATACTCCGTGTTACACAAGTTACATTTCGATTTGCCTGAAGTTACAATTTTCTCAACGTGAGTTACATTTTTTTACACGTGAGTTACATCACCCTGCTGCTGGACAAGGAAAAAAACAAAACAAAAAAGTTACTGTTCACGCGCGCGTGAACAGTAACACGCGAATTTGCCTTTGGGAGCACCATGCTCACCGTGGATTGCTCCCACGGTATAACAACTCATAAATAGAGAACATGCGGCAACAATTTAATGGTCCATCTGTCAAAGCCACAATTACGATACCTTTGAGTCAAAGGTACCTGTGAGCAGTTAGCTATGGAGTATTTGTTTGTATAAAAACCCTACACACACAGGTATAAAAATGTGTACACAAAAAAGTGTGTACCTTTGAAATTTGGAATTAAAAAAAAAAACATACTCCCTCCATCCTTAAATGTTCTTCCAATTGCGAATTACGAAGGTTGATCGACGATAAAGTTAAATGATCCCTGTGAAAATTCGGATTATTTTTAGTAAATAAAATTTACATATTCAGAAACTACATTAAACCCGCTACGAAGCCTGCAAAAAATAATTCAACTTTTATAAAATTTTAATATAAAAAGTAAGAGTTTAAGACTGATTTAAGTTGACCCTCGATAAGCGAAATGGAAGTTCTTTTAGCGAAATGGAAGTTCTTTTAGCGATAGAGGAGTAGAACATTTGATACATGACATGCAGTCTACTCGAAGAGGTAGATGAAAGTACATGTGGTGAACTGGTGACAAGCAATCTGTTAATAATGTAGCGCCTATAATTTGATGAAATGATCCGAATATAAATAAATTATAGCTAGGCAGAATGGATCCATTGATGGCCTTGAATAAAATTATGAACCGAATATGAGTTGACATGTTTAGTCGGCACGATGTTACTCCACTCCACACGGTCAGATGCCCCAATCCCCCTGTTCTCCAATTCCCCGTAATATAACGTTTTCAATGCGAACTCTCCATCCCACACCATCCATCCCTTCTTCGAAATCAAGCCCCCATAGTTACACCTTATGAACACAGTCCTTGAGTGCTCCTTCCATGGCCGCCCCAGGAAATTATTGTGCACGTCTCTGTTTTTCAGGTAAATCTTCATGTATTTCTCTGTCCCGTTGATGGAGCATTTGTGGAAGACGAACCCCGTTGACTGGCCTGGCTCCAGCCTGCCCTGGGCCGTGATCGTGTTATCCTCCCCTGCCTCCGGCTGGGCCGGCCTCGGAGCAATCAGGATCTTGCAGTCCTGGAAGAATGCGGCGGCGTTGCCGAATATGAAGTCAACGTTGCCCCGGATGTGGCACGATTTGTAGTATTGGCGGAGGGATTTGGCGTAAAGGGTGTCCTGGTTTCCCCGGAATTCGCAGTGTTCCATGACGGTCCGGTCAGCGTCGGATCGGAAAGCTACCGCCTGATACCCGACGGCGGTGTTCTCAAATGTGATATTGGTCGCCGTGAACCCGTCTCCGAGCACACCAACGGTGGCAGTGTGAAAGATTCCCATTCCGGGCTGACCGGCATTCAAACATCCCGTAATTACCGTTTTGCCCATCCCGTCTCCGACGAAAACAACGTTGTACTTGTACAGCGACACCCGCACAGTCTCGTTGTAAACTCCAGCTTTGATCCAGATCACGAATCTCTCGGCCGGCTTAGACTCCGGCGCCGGATCCACCGCGTCCTGCACCCTCCGGTAGTCGCATCCACCGGTTTTGCACACCGTCACGTTATAAGCTAGGATCTTGCGCCCGCCACCGTCTTTGAAATCCGACCACTTCTTCTTGTCGGCCGGCTCCCAGAACCCGTCGCGTTCCGTATATATTGGGCCCCACAACCATGTTTTTTCGCCATGGAAATCGTAATTCGCAAGCATGCTCAGTGCGGTGCTGGTCGTCGCGATCAAGGCGTTATTCATAAATGCCATAGCATCAATCGCGTCTTTCGAGTCGTTCACTTTTCTCAAGCCGCCCAATCCGTCATACTGGGACGACAGGGCGGCGCTCAGCCATGCACGGCTGTCCTTCAGCTTAGAACTGCTGGCTGAGAGGCCGTGTCTGACTGTCATGCCGACCCGGTACCTCGAGTAGTCTATTGGCTCCAGAGAATTATTTGCAGCTATGGCACGGGTCATGTTTGACCCGTGCTTAATGTTCTTTAGCTGCACTTCCGCAGTGTGGAGATTATGGAGGGTGAGGTGGAGCAACGACAGGATGACTTGGCGAACAGTTGATCCAGGCGACACGTGACCCGATTGGTTGATCACATGTTGGCATGTTGTTGGATCACGTGACGCCTTGCAGGTGGAAACAATGATGGGAGGAATAGGGGAATGATGTTCTTGTGGCAAGTAAGGGCTGTGAGCGAAGGCGGAGACAAAGAGGAAGGCAATTAGGGGCAGTAAATGTATGGATAAGCCCATTGCCAGTATTAGAGTTTTAATTACTTGCGGGTAAGATGATGGGGGAGTTTAGTCAGCTTATAAAGAGAGCCTTTGCGAGGGGCACAACTGGCTTGATTTGTGGTCCACTTTCAAATGTTGGGACTCAATTACGTACGGCGGGACGAATGTTTCCGTGCTTAAGAACATACTTACCCCAAACAATGTACATTTTTTATCATTGTCATTGATATATTTCATTTTTGTTAATAAAAAATAAAAATAAAAATAAAAAACAGAGTTTGAATAGCGAAAAATTTAACAAATTGGACATATTTTCCAAAAAACAAATTGCACATATGGAGTATTTAAAAATGGAGATAGTACATTTTCCGATAATAATAAAAAAAATGTTGTATATGATGTCAAACTTTGGCGTAATTTGTGCTGTAGATTATCCCTATCAAAGAGTCAAATGTTGTATTCCACTTCTGCTTTATACATTTTTCAATGCATATGATGGGAAATTTTGAATATTTTCTTAGTTTTGATGATTAAAGGGGAAACAAAGACTTACGACGCGTAATCTATGACGGATTAAGCCATAGAAAATAATTTCATAGACAAAGTGTACTCGAACCTTATATGAGTAAACTTTTGTATGTATTTTCAACTTCACGAGTAGAAAAATTGAAAAAAAATTGAAATTGCAAAATAGATGGTATATGTTTTTATTCCTTAAATACAAATAATTACTTGCAAGCTTTATAAATGTTGTCAAGCATAAAGTTTGATAATGCTAAAGTGTGACAATATTTACTTTTATTTAAGTTTGATAATGCTAAAGTGTGACAATATTTACTTTTATTTATCGAATAAAAATACACAATAATCATATTTTGAAATTCACAAACTTTACAGCTTTACTCCTATCTACGTCTATTTCTTTTACATTAGACGTGATAAAGGTGTGATGATTTCACCAGCTTGAGAATGTGGAAAGTAAGTTGAATTGTTTTTATAAATAATACTCCGTACTCTAATACGTAGTACTTTCTATTTCGTTAAAATTGTCTCACATTTCTTTTTCGCTTTGTCCAATTAAAATTAACTCATATCAAATTTAATAAAATTTGTGTGGTTCTAAATCATTCTAACTTTATTCTTATATTTTACCAATTCAATGTCAACCACATAAAGATAATATTCTTAATAACAACATCACCTCCTCTTATCACAATATTAGTCCGACGGGAGTAATATATAGCAAAAAGCTGTTAACAAAAAAATTGTTACTATATTTAGTTCTGTGAGTTTTATGTCAATGTCATATTTAGTTTATTTCTTTCTCTTTGTCTACTTTTAATATTTGACTAATAATGTTTCTTGAAAAATAGTTAAAATACTGTCATTATGGTAATAAAAATGGTTATGTTAATATCTTATAATGCAACTATTTGGCAGTAATGATCCCAAGATTACAGTAAATATTGAAATGTTACTTTGTATACGAGTAATATCAATAATTTATCAACAAGCTAATTAAATTGGGAAACATCAATCAATTATGTACAGAAGATATGTGATTAAATTAGGAATACGTCCATAGATGACCTTGAATAAAATTACGAACTGAATATGAATGAACATGTTGGGTAGGAACAATGCGACTCCAATTTACACGGCCAAATGTGCTAGCCCCCGCCCCTCTATTATCAAATTCCCCATAGTAGAGAGTTTTTATGGCAAAATCTCCATCCCATGGATACCATCCTTCCTCTGAAATTATATCGTCCAAGTAACTCCCTATGAACACTGTCCTCGAGTATTCCTTCCATGGCCGTCCCAGGTAGCTCTGCTGCACCTTGCTGTTTTTACGGTACAGCTTCATGTAATCATCGGTGCCACTAATGGAGCAATTGTGGAAGACGAAACCTGTTTCAAATTATACGTAAACAAAATAATTGAAAGTACAAAGGGTGCATTATACTCCCTCCCTATTTAAAAGATCACAACTTTGTGTCTCGGCGGAACATTTAAGGGAGAAATAGTGGAGTTAATGAATAATAGTGTGGAAAATGTACTAGAGAATGTGAAAAAGTAGGGAAAAGAAAATAAAAAGTAGAAAAGTAAGGGTATTGGATATTTTTAAAGGAAAAAAAAAAACTTACCAAAACGGAAAAATGTACAGAGTAGCAAAGTTTTAAATACATCTCAATTAGAAAGTGTCGCAAATTTTTAAATACAGAGAGAGTATCCGAGATTTTTACTTTAATATGGATCTAATTTGAGTAATACTTCAGCCATTACAAATTATTGAAGTATTACACCAATAAAATATGAAGTAGTAAAGTGATAAATTAAGATACTCAATAATGTTTTCTCTAAGATTGATCTTTTCGAAAAATGTTACCACAAATTGTTCAAAATACAGCATGAGAGAAAATGTTTGTGAATGAAGTAGTAAAGTGATATATTAAGATACTCAATAATTTTTTCTACGGAGTATAAGATTGATCTTTTCGAAAAATGTTACCACAAATTGTCCATAATACATTATGACAGAAAATGTTTGTGAATTTCAAAGTACAAGTAGGACTTTTGATCATGTTTTTATTCATTAAATAGATCCAACTATTATACTACACTCATTTTCCCTTCTAATTTTGGAATTTTCTCTTCGTTTTGATAATGATCGAATTAATTCAATAACCTGAGGTCTGGGCTGGGTCAATCCTTCCGTGGGCCGTTATGGTGTTTATCCCTCCCTTCTCCGGCTCACTTGGTCTCGGAGCGATTAAAATATCGCAGTCCTGGAAAAATGCCGCCGAGTTACCGAATATGAAATCAATGTTTCCTTGGATGCGACATGATTTATAGTATTGCCGCATGGATTTGGCGTACAGGGTGTCTTGGTTTCCCCTCAATTCGCAGGTTTCCACCACTGTCCGATCGCCGTCGGACCGGAAAGCCACCGCCTGAGACCCAACTCCGGTGTTCTCAAACGTGATATTGCTGGCCATGAATCCGTCGCCAAGAACACCGACGGTGGCAGACTGGTAGGTCGTCATTCCGGGTTGACCAACATTAAGGGACCCTGTAATGACGGTTTTGCCCATGCCGTCGCCTAAGAAGACGACGTTCAGCTTTTTCATCGATACCCTTACCTTCTCCTTGTAAATTCCGGCCTTGATCCATATCACAAAGCGCTGCCCGGCGTTCATATCCGGCGCGGCGTAAACTGCCGCCTGAACCGTTGCGTAATCGCATCCGCCGCCGTGGCCGGTCTTACAAACGGTCACATTCGGCTTCAGGTGCTTAGGAACTCTGCCGTTTTGAAAGTCAAAATCAGACCCCGATCCATCCACTGGGTCCCAGTACCCGTCCCTCTCTGTCTTGATAGGGCCCCACGATGCCACGTCGTCCCCATGCACGTCGTAATTCCCCAGCATGCTTAGGGCGGTCCTGGTCAACCCCATTATGGTGTCGTTGATCAATGCCATGGTATTGACCACAGTCGCCGTGTCGTTGACTTTTTTCAAGGCGGACCAGCTGTCGTACTGGTATCCCAGGGCAGCGCTCAGCCATGCACGGCCGTCCTTTATTTTACGGCCGCGTAACCCGTCGTGATCCGTCAACGCGAGCCGGTACCTGGACAACCTGAGCACCTCAGCGCAAATCCTAGCCGCCGTCGTGAGGTTGCTATTCGACGAAGAGCCGGAGAGGATGGCGCCCACCATGGATTCGGCGGTGTCTAGATGCCGGAAAGTGATGTTTAAGACGGCGTGAATGACATGGAGGCTGCTTGCGTTCTCCGTTATCAAGAGTCCGGAGTTAGTCAACGCATGTTCGCATGAGGGAGGATCGTGTGAGGCGGCGCAGGCCGCAACGGTGACGGATGGCGGGGTTGCTGATTGTTCAGGCGAAAAGCTAACGCCGGCCGAGCCAGAGGCTGCCAAGAGAACGAGAATCGCCAAGAGGTGTGAGATGAATACAACGGATGAGGTGATCATATCGTTTTTATTAGTCTTATTTTGTGCAAATTGTTTTTTTTATTGATTTGGAAGGGAGGTTTGAACGGGGGCACACAAAGATATTATAATGGTTGATTATACACATTTTCCTGCTTAAATGACTTGCATGGGCGCATGGCAATGGGTAACCAAACAAAAATCAAGAGAAAAAAAAATAAAAGAAAAATGGAAATGAATAATTCAACCTTTTAGTAGTTTTCTTACACCAGGTCCACTTTATCGTTATTCATTAATAATGCAACTTTTGCACCTCATTTTCAATCGCTGGTCTCTGACTGCTTGATGACCTGCTATTCCAGATTTTTTAATTTTCTTTACAAACTATTCAACTATAAATCTCACATTTCACAAATCTTCTTCAAGCTGTCCCACGTATCATTTTTTTCCTAAAACTTTTCCCTTTTTTATCGTCTTGACTCTTTTATTCCCCTTTTTGGTCTTCTTATTCTTATTTTTATTACTTTTCAAGTTTTTTTTTTTTGTTTTTTTTCAATGTTTATGTATTCCATTTTTCATTCTTTTTCTTCTTCCCGTTTATTATTTCATTTTCATATTTTTTTGGATTAGTTTTCTTATAAAAGATCTTTTTTCACCGTACAAAGTTTTTCACTTTATTTTCTTTTTACTTACATTTATTTATTTCATTTTTCCTTTTCTTACCTTTATTTTACCACAAATATATTTTTGAGAAAATAACCCCAAAATAGGATTAAACTAATCCCTAAATGCAAAAATAGGACTATTTTATTTATCTTCCTAAAATAGGAATACAGTATCGTTTAGCTTCTTATTCTACATTTATATCCTTACCATAGCTTAATAGTGTTGGGTTAATGGCCCAAATAAAGGGTCGTCCCACACCCCCTCATTCGGACGAACGTCCAACCCAACAAGGCAGCCCACCCCGACGAACGTCCAAGCGGGATAATGGTGGGTCAAGCCCGCGGACAACGCAGTGGCGACGAACGTCGCCACCTAAAGCCACGACCACTTAATGCCAATCCAATCTGTGTGACAAATCCTCTAAGGGACAGAATACGAACGGCCCATGACCCTTTGCAGTATCATCAGGAGCAGGCCCCCGGCCCAGCTGGACGTCCGTTTCCACTAGTTAGGCGGGAAACCCAGATTCTAACGGGAAACGCATTTAATGCTGGAGATTTGGTGGTTGAGACACCAGCCATACACAGTCCTCCACGTCAGTATAGCCAACTACTCATTGGTGGTATAAATAGCAGCATTCATTTCATTGTAAAGGGTTGACAACTTACTATTCTTAGCACTCTAGCTTATTAGTTATTACCTTATTACTCGCAGCTATTCTACTACAGGATAAGACGAACGGCCTACGGCCTTAGTAAAAGTATTGTATCGGGGCGTTATTTATCATTAATAATATCCGGTCCTTTACTTCTTCTTTATTCTCCTTAATCCATCTTGCTTGTTGGGTCAGTT